GTTTGATTTGTGGAATTCGAAGGAATTTGATTGAATTGGAACGAGAAATTCCTTTGACCAAATTCCAWTTYTTTTGTTTTGTTCACTTCTTGAAAATGGATGGAATCCTTTACATTCCATTGAATTTCACAAATYAATGAATTCATCGTTCTTTGGYATAATGGAAGGAATTGAATTCCACCACCGCCCATCCCTTGCCTCCATAATAACCATGTTACTACTGTTCGTCACGCCCTATCCTAACCCCTCACCACCTCCAAACCACTATTGTCGCCCCCACCCACACCCTACCTCAACCCACCACTAACAACCATGCCTTTACTGTTGACATCACACACCCCCCCAATCATCCATCACACCTCCCTACTACGACCATGCTACAACCGTTACTGTCATGCCCCTAACCTAAACCCCACCACTAGTGTCGCCGGCACAACCGCCACTCACCCCCACCCTACCCCAACCCACCACTGACCGCCATGCCACTATTGTCGTCGTCATTACCCACCCACTCCCAGCCACCCGACCACCATCGTACCATTATCGTCATCACAGCTCCCACCCTGCCCCTCCCCTAACCTAACCCCCCACCACCACACCACTATTGTCATCATCATTAACCACCCTCGCCCACCCTAGCCAGACCCCGCCCTACCTTGCTCAATGGGTGGGGTGGGCGAGGGTTGTGGGAACGGGGTTTAGCTACGGTGGGGGTTGGGTTTGAGTAGGGATGGGGGCGCAGGGTGGGGAGGAGGATGGTAGTTGTGACGATGACAATAGGGACATGGTGATTGGTAGGGTGCGGGCGGGACGATGGGTGTRGTGGTCCGAACAAAGACGAYTATTCCAATTCTTTGAGAGATTCTATTTCAATTCTTACCAAACAAATGCRTGGTCAAATTTCATTTCAATTCCTTCAAAGTCACATTAATTTGATGGATTCCAATTAAACCAAATTTCATTATGTAAACCTCCTCTTATTTCTTTCTTTTTTTTGGGTGTCCCAAGCTGGACTAATTCCGACAACTTGTGGCTGCAAGAAATCAGTCTTGATAAACTYAGTTATCATAATTGTTGTGTACGCCAGGAATAGAACTTTAGACATATGGGATATTCCACCACATCATCAGGGCCTCAACTACTATGCCACAACCCTTGTGGCTCCTTATTTCTTTTTTCACGGGTTCTTTTATAGAGTAGTACGAGGAGTTCCACATATCTAACATGGTATCGAAGTTGGGTTCTACGACCTATTAGGTCTTGATACTCCAKAGCACAATCTCCATTTAGCCTTGGTTGAAGTCCTATTTTAGCTATGAGAACCATAAATATTTTRAAAACCTGAAAACCAACTATTTCATGTATTATTTATAATGAATAACTCTGAATAAGAATGTAATTCATYGTGAATATAATGCATTCTCGTTATAAACATATGTCATAATATCATTCATCTTAAATAAAACATTAGTTGTAAGGTRCTCCTGTAAGAATGGGTTTCGGTTTCTGTAGCAAAAAATAATAGATTTGGATGAAATTGGGTTAAATAGCAAATAATACTGAGTTGGATACCACATCAGTCGCCATATCAGCATGGTAATCGGTTAATGCTTCAATCGGTTATCYGGATTCTTAAATGTTAAAACTTTACATCTTAGGTRCCAAAATATAAGTTTTGAYARTATGTTACCTAAAATATGAATCAAGTTAAATTACGTTATTTTTTCATGMAATTTGCCCTAATTAAATATAGCATGTTTTAACATATTTTAATATAGAGTAACTTTTTTATACACTYGATAATTTATACAAACTTACAAACTAGTTTTTATGTGTATGTTTTTATATGAAATATTACGTGTGAATTTGCATTATTTATATAATATTATATCATATGCTAAAATGTTTACGATTGTTTTTTGTCACTCACAAAACGATCTTGAAAGTTACACATATGAAACAATACTCTATAAATATAGCATTTTCATAAGTGTTAAACAACACATAAAAATTGGGTTTTTTTTTTTATAAATTTATACAAATTTTTAGATTTACAGCGTATTTTCTTTTTAACATAGGTGCCATTAATGTTCTAAAAGACTAATCATTTTTTTTAATTAACCTGGATATCTAACCCGCTATGCGAGCCGACTAATCACAGGACGACCACCTGTTTTGCCATTTAGTTCGGAGTCACCGCATTTGAACCTCCGTGGCCACAAGGGGATTTTTATTTCTTCTTGGATTTGAACCTGGGACCTCGAGGTACTTTTGACCTTTAAAACCAAGCTCAAATCAATCAGGCACCACCGTTGTGGTTAAAACTAATCACTTTATATCGGAGGTTGGCTAAAAGAAATGCAACTTTCCTCTTTCTTTGGAAATTTATCAATTATTAATCACTACAAGGTATCATTGAAAGTAGCTGATTACTGAACATTTATTGGGGTAAATGTTTATTCATGATGACATCATCTTTATTTATTTTATCGGGTAAGATTCTCGACCATCAAAATGAATCGTTGGTAAGCGTGTTTTACCCAGTAAGTGTTTACCAAGTAAGG